ACAAAATGAAAGAGGGTGAAGCAGAACAGCTCAGAATCAAAGTTTCAGCCAAAGTTACACATGAGTTTGCTATGGGGTCTCCAGTTTCTCCTATTATGGCCAACCTGTCTTGTCTCCCTTTCAGAGACTTTGAAAAGGTGATTCAGGTTTTTATTACCTTTCATTTGGACTACTGTAATTCATTGTATGTTGGTTTAGACAAATCATCATTGCATCGCTTACAATCTGTCCAGAACGCAGCAGCTCATCTTTTAACAGCAACTAAAACATATGAACACATAACCCCTGTCCTGGCTTCTCTCCACTGGCTTCCTGTCCACTTCCAGATTGATTTTAAGATGTTATTGCTGTTTTTAAAATCTTTAGTCTGGCCCCGTCATATTTATGTGATCTCATTAACATCTACACTCCAGTAAGAGCACTCCGGTCTACCAACCAGTTCCTCTTAGATGTCCCCAGATCCAAACTGAAATCCAGAGGTGATCGGGCTTTTGTGGTTGCTGCTCCAAAACTGTGGAACAGTTTACCCGAGAATTTAAAGAGCGCTCAGACTGTTGAGACGTTTAAATCTTTGCTGAAGACTCATCTGAATTCCTTGACATTTGATCCACACAGAGTCTGAGAACAAGTTGAGCTGATTTTTATTGTTGTTGTGTGTTTACTGTTAAATATCTTATGTTTTTGAGTGGCACTAGATGCATTTTTTACTCTTTTTATCTGTCTTAACTGTAAAGCACTTTAGTCAGCTTAGTTGTTTTTATGTGCTATATAAATAAATTGACATTGACAATGTATCATATTCATCTAGAAAAAAAATCATATATACCCTGAATGTCTGGGTTTCAAGGCAGGTCAGGACAGGAGAGAACCCAGTTGCGCAGGCAGGACTCAGCAGACAGGCGTACAAAATAAAATCCTTTTAATAATTATAAATCAAAAGGCTGACATGGCAGCAAAACTTACAAAACAGATTCAGGAATGGGATCAAACAGGATCAGACTGACTGGACAGGCATTACCCAACGACGAACCGGCACTGACAAGACTAACAGATAGACTTTCTATACACAAACAGGACATGAGACACGGGTGATGTTAATCAGACAATCACAGCAGAGACACAAGGGAGTACAGACAGGGGAAGGCCCACTAGATGGCACCATCCCTACACTGAAAGGAAGATTCTGGGACACCTGGCAGCATTTTCTGTCATTTGTTGAAAATATGTCAATGCATGCATAGAATATTTGTGTATATGTAGCTGATCCGGTGTGGAAGGGAATTTTGTTTTATATTCTTTTGTTTTTTCGTGTGTTTGTGTTAAAAAAACAAACAAAAAAATTAATAAAAAGACTTTGTTTAAAAAAGTGCAGACTTTAAACTACACATCAGTTTTTAAATTGTATTAATAGACCAGTAGTAAAACCAGAGATATGATTAATAATCCATGCCACATCTTGTTCTGAAAATCATCACCATATCTGAAGCATGTTAGAGCAAGAGGCTGCGGTAAGAGATTAATTTAATAGAATTTGGAATAAGGCTGTAACATAACAAAATGTGGAAAAAGTGAAACGCTGTGAATACTTTCCGGATGCACTGTATGTGCTATACCTTTTTGTCTTTCATGGTTCCATCGGGGTTCAGTCGAAAACTGCCCACATTGATGGTCTTCTTTGGGTCCACCTGACTGATTGAGTGGTTCAGTTCTTCCACTATTGCCTTGCATGCTGGAAAACAAAAGATACCTCAGCATTAGGGATTAAAGAACTGGCTATTTAACTGATGCAAAACAAAGAATTTAAAAAAAGAAAATGTTTTATTAGGGTCTAGATTTTGATTTGGGACTTTAAGACAACTCCTCATAAACAATGACACTAAATTGATACCTTGGTTAAAAATGTCTAAGTTTAAATTACTTTGAAGCTCAAATTCCAGTTTTCCTATTAAATCTCTGTTGGTGTTGATTCAAAAGAAAAAAAAATCCACAATAAAATGCAAACAAGAGTACCATACACGGCACATTTTATGCCTGTCAGCAAACTCTTAAAAAAAATCTGTAGCAATAGCCAGGACAAGCAAAGACCTTGAATAACCTTTGATATTGATTTATGTCCTTGGTCTCGGAGCTGTGGTGATGAAAAGATGAAGAAATATGTAAACACTTATGTAGTTTTGTTAAATTATCTTGAGTATAAGATACAGACAGTTGAAATGAGTTTCTTCCGCAGGGTAGCTGGACTTTCCTTTAGAAATAGGGTGAGAAGTTCAGTTATTCTGGAGAGACTAGGAGTAGAACCACTATTCCCCCTAGTAGAGAGGAGCCAGTGGAGGTGGTTCAGACATCTGGTAAGGATGCAGCTGGGCACCACCTCATTAGACTTGGACCATACAGTTAAATGTCTATTTATGAAGTAAGTGTGCATTTAGTCTTCTGTCTGAATGAGGAGTAGTTAGATCATCTGGGCCTGGACATTTGTCTAAGACTAAACAATTCAACACTTTTTCTACTTCTTCCATTCGGATTTCTGCATCACATATACTTTTAAAATTCGTCCACAGTGGGACCTGTTCTCTGATTCAAAGAGCTTCAACATCTGTATGAGAGTAAGAAGAGGAGAGCTTCAACATCTGTATGAGAGTAAGAAGAGGAGAGCTTCAATATCTGTATAAGAGTAAAAAGAGTAGAGCTTCAACATCTGTACGAGAGTAAGAAGAGAGTGTCAACATCTGTAAGAGAGTAAAAAGAGGAGAGCTTCAACATCTGTAAGAGAGTAAGAAGAGGAGAGCTTCAACATCTGTATGAGAGTAAGAAGAGGAGAGTTTCAACATCTGTATGAGAGTAAGAAGAGGAGAGCTTCAACATCTGTATGAGAGTAAGAAGAGGAGAGCTTCAACATCTGTACGAGAGTCAGAAGAGGAGAGCTTCAACATCTGTATGAGAGTAAGAAGAGAGCTTCAACATCTGTATGAGAGTAAGAAGAGGAGGGCTTCAACATCTGTATGAGAGTAAGAAGAGGAGAGCTTCAACATCTGTATGAGAGTAAGAAGAGGAGGGCTTCAACATCTGTATGAGAGTAAGAAGAGGAGTATAGTTTGCTATAAAACTGAAAAATTGCAGTTGAAATTCTAACAGGATCGGTTCATTCCTGGTCCTCAGTTTTCAGTTTCTTTATTGAGTTTCGTTCCTGTCTCTGTTCTTCTAGCCGACAGAAGTGTGCCCAACTTCTTTCCCCTTCTTCAGTCCATGTTGCTCTTGACCAGATGTTGGCTCCTTTGTCTTTGTTAACATAGATGTTATCTAGTGAAGAGTGTAGAAGCATTCATTTTTGTTTGTCGCCTTCGTTTAATGAAGTCTGGTTGCAAATATCATGAATTTCTCTTACAATGTTAGTTTGTCTTTGTTTACTAGTTCAGGTTAATTATTTACTATAAGATATAAAGATTTGACATATTTTATATTTTAAGTACTTCCATTTAGTAGTGTAATTTGATAGTGATGAGTCTTTGTTTATATCATCAATTGTCTTTTTAATATCTTGACAAAAAGGGTCGTGTTTAAGAAGATTTGAGTTAAATTTCCAGTATTTTTAATTACTTTTTTGTGCATTTGTAGGAGTTAATGTGAGTTTGATGAGGCAGTGGTCTGTAAGAGCTGCAGCAGAACAAGTAGATTTAACTTCTAAGTCGTGTGTAAACTCTGACACAAGCCAATAATCTAATCTAGATTGAACTGTTCCATCAGGTTTGAACCATGTAAAAATGTGAGTATGTGGATGTAGAGTATGTCATATATCATTCCACTTGAACTCATTACAGAAATTAAACATCATGGAATTGTAATGGTGATTTTGAAATCTCGAAGGACATCTATCCAGCCACTCATCCATTACCAGATTATAATCCCCTCCAAAAATAATATCACAGTTTAGATATCTTTGAAACAGGTCTTTTAGACTGTTGCTTAATTCTGTAATTAAGTTTTTGTTTTGGTTGTGATTATTGAACCCATATATATATATATATATATATATATATATTACCCAAAACCAAAAACCTTCCATTAATTTCAAACACACAAATTATCCAATGACCTAAAGGATCTTTTTCAGTGTTAACTACTTTCCCAGGAAAGTTATTTAAGAGAAGAGCGACCCCTGCTGACCTGTTTGTACCATGACTAAAATATATTTTGTCCTCCCATTGGTTTGACCAAAATGTTTCTTCTGCACTGTTGCTGTGAGTTTCCTGAAGAAGATAGCAATGAGCCTTTTCATTTAGTAAGAATAGAATAGTTGCTTTGTGTTTTATAGAGTCTCTCAAACCCTTAGCATTAACTGAAACGACAGAGAGGTTATAGTTGAAAAAAGACATGACTAATCTAAAATAATAAGGGAAAAAATAAAAAAAAGGAAAAAAATAAATAAATACATGATAGAAAAACAAGTAAATAAAAGAAGTGTAGGTTTGGACTAGTAAGTAATAAACTGAAAGCCCTGTGCCTCTGACATATTTAACCTTAACTGTGAACCAACATCAAAACTGATGTCTCTTGGAATTTGAACTCGGTATCATAAAACTAAGAATTCTCTTAACACGTTATCTTCTTCCCTTTTCTCATTTTCAGTCATATTGTTTTATGGAACTCAACAATAACTATATTGGTGTATATCAATAGAATGTCGAGTGGGTTCCTCAGATGTCCATGATGACTCTTTCACCATCGATGTAGCCGAGTGGACCTTCATGGTAGGTGGTCGTCCCCGCAGCTCGTGCTTCCTCCATCTTCGGCCACACTGCAGCTCGAGCCTCTGTCAGCTTTGCAGAAGTCCTCTTTGAAGCCAATCCCAGCTTGTTTGCAAAACTTGGAGTTTTTTGTGAGTTTCCAGATCTCATCATGGTGAAGCCTCATGACAAACTGGATGGTGACTTGGCGTTTTTTTTCCCACTTCTCGTTTTCCAAGTCGGTGAACGTTGTCAACAACTGTGTCCATAGCTGAAGCTCATTGTGATGCGATTTCTGATGGATACAGATGATTTCCTCACGGATTTTTTCATGATCGTTTTCTTTTAGATCATGTATTTTGAGATTCCAGCGTCTCTTGTATCTCTTAGTTTTTCATTTAGCTCTTTATTTTCTTTGGTGAGTTGGGGTATTATTTTTTCAAACTCTTTTATTTTAGCTTTGCACTCCTTGATATCCGCTGCATTCATTTCCACCAGTTTAGCAATGCTAGCTACCATCGTGGAAGTTTTGGTTAACTGCTCCCCAAAAGGATCTATTTTGGCGGTCAAATTTACAATTGCTTCAACAAGAGTTTCATTTGACTGGATCTGGGTTGTTTTAATCTTATTAGGTGGAGTTGATGATTTGGTTGGCGTAACAGGTGAATTTTTCCTCTTACTGGAGGGGTTAGAAGTTTCCATCAAAGTATTTTCGTGCTCGACCACACTAGCTTGGGTTAAGGTTAGCTTAGCATTAGCTTTCCCACTCGCCATGTCTTAGTTCGAGTATTCGGAGTAATTGCAGATTTTTTTCACATGCGGTGGGTAGACTCACTTGAAGATATGCACTTTTGGTTCGTCTAACTTGTAGTTGATGTTGGTACTGGACTTGAAATCCGGGGCAGTAGGGTGCGAGCTTAGAAGAAGACGTCTGCTAGATCCGCCATCTTGCCGGAAGTCGGAAATTATTGAAATTGGACAACACTTGAATTCTGACTCTAAACCTAACTTCCTGGTTGAAGTCACATGACATGTAACTTGGGCTGTATCTCTTAAAGGGACAGTCAGAATATACAAATACACCCTCTAAAACACTCAACAACATGGTAAGCATACTTATAAAACCAAGGGCGGAGGAAAACATCGTCACACATCAGGCAGAAAATTGGTAAGTGACCTTTTATATTAACATAAATTTATTTAAATAACTTTTCAAGACCAACAGGTTCAGTTAAAACTGTCAGCCCATACAGAAAACAGAAAAACACCTCACTCAAGTTGATGTGAGTACATGAACACACAAAGACCTTCTCTCTGAAGATAATGATGTAGATGTGACAAGTCAAAGATGTTTTTCACTTACTACAGTATCGTGTGTGGATCATAGTGTCATTGTGTCTGGAGTAGATTGACTAGAGCCTTGTTGCCTAGATAAACAGGACGGCTACCAGTGTCGTCTGACCTGGTTTTTGAACTTATTTTCTTGCATGATTTTAAATTATTACAGGTGAAAGTAAATTAAATTAATGAAAGAACTCAAACACATCTGTGAAATTAAACCAACCAGGGTAAAAGTATTTGGGGAATCTAAAAAAGTTAAATCTGGTCCTCTGGACATTCAAAAAAACAAAACAAAGCAAATCAACAAAAAAATGTAGAAACGTTTCGTCTCTCATCCGAGAGACTTCCTCAGTCTGAGGAGCTAAATTCAGCTCAGTCTCTTAAATAGCACCTTCTCAGAGTGGATCAACCAGTTCTGCTGCTGACAACCAGAACCAGCTGATCACATGGTCAAGAAGGACCATCAGCCTAACAATGGATCATTAGCACCTGATGACTGTTTACTGTTCACAGAGGGCCGAGTGATACTAGCAATCACAGCATTGTAAGAGGGGGACAGTTGAACACGTAGGCCTCCACCTATGTGTTCAACTCAGTCTCTTAAATAGCTTAAATGGTTTGAGAGAGGAGTAAAGGAGGCCATCTTTGTGAAAAGAAATTGTCCATCATTAAACAGGGGTGGAGGCCTCCGGGTTCAACTGTCCCCCTCTTACAATGCTGTGATTGCTAGTATCACTCAGCCCTCTGTGAACAGTAAACAGCCATCAGGTGCTAATGATCCATTGTTAGGCTGATGGTCCTTCTTGAGCATGTGATCAGCTGGTTTTGGTTGTCAGCAGCAAACTGGTTGATCCACTCTGAGAAGGTGCTATTTAAGAGACTGAGCTGAATACAGCACCTCAGACTGAGGAAGTCTCTTGGATGAGAGACGAAACGTT